ATTTATAGTTTTGGAGCCAGAAATTGGAATTCTAATTAGCCAAATCGACCCTAAAATTACCTAATATGGTAATAATATTTTTCTGGAAAATTGAAATAATTCGGCTCATAATAGCTCAAATTAACCTAAATTAACCCAAGATCAGCATATGATTAGGCTTCTCAGGCGTATAGACCAAAGGATTAATAAAGAGCTAATTGGGATAGTATTGGATTGGATTGGGTTGAGTTAGTACTTCGAAACTAAAAGGTCATTAGAGGGCCAAAATTATAACCTCGAAGTATTACCCATTAGAATGAGTTAGTATTGGGTTAGTATTGTATAACCAATCCTACTTGTTGTCTTATGTCATACGACAACTTGAATGCTTCCCAAATCCGGGCCATCTTTATATTCTGAAATAGGGACATCTAATTGCAATGTCCTTGGGATGAGTATGGTTCATTAGCCCATACTAACCCAATTAAAGGCATTTCTTGAGACGAGTATCGATGTCTTTTATTGAATAAATATGGTTTTATTGAGATAGGATGACTTCGTACTGAAATGTAGCTAGATATACAACCCAATTGGATTGGTATTCGGTTGGCATTGGTTTAGTAGCAAGTAGTGAGCAGCTTACTAATGATTAGTCTGAGTGTATGGGAAATGGATAGTGGCTGTATGGTATAACTACATCAATTCATTTTGATGACCTTTTTTGCGATAAGAGAAAGTCTGACAAATAATAAAGAACATTGCCTCGGTATATAACCCATTTTAAAGTGGAGATTGTATTAACAGCCCAGATATGGTTGGTATATAGTTATTGAAGAGTATATTTGAGCCGGCAAGTTGTTTTTGGAATTCCACAATACTCCCTCCCAATACTTGCCACGACAAACCCAAATCGAAACGACCAAAATGATGGTAGGAATTGATGGGGACTATATAAGCAAGCAGCAAAATGCAAGTATGGATTTCGGCAAAGTATTATTTGTTCTAATGGGAGGATTGGTTGGCCTATTTTTCTCATGGTTATACTCAGATAAATTGTCAGCAATGTCCTATTTTGTTCCCAATCCACTAGCCAAGCTGCAGAACACCAAGAATATGGATAGTATCAAAGACATGAATAATGACAATAATCTAAACAATGAATACAGCCAGAAAGACACCAAGACTCCACCATCTAAGAACTTGAAGGCGACTCAGCCATCCAAAAGATCTTCTCAAGCATCTTCTAATCCACCTAAACCAACACCTCCAAAATCTGCATTCAAAGATTGTCTTGCCGCGGCACTAACCACACCAATGCATAACCAAAAAGACCTATACCAACTATCTCGCGCTCTGAGAAAATGTCCAGTAGCTTGGAATTCCACTGAAAATAAGTGGACGGAATTCATCGAAGCCTTCGATACAATTCAAGAACAAACCCACCAACTCACCCAAAACCTGAACGAAATTGCCCAGCAATTCAACAGCGATATCGCCATAATAAAATCTATACGCAGCCAACCAATAACAAGCAGACAAGAAACTATTAACAGTCTCAAAAACCTCAAAACATTCGATGTTATAGAGAAAGAAGACAAGTTTCACACTCTACAATTCCGCAGCGAGATTGTAAATATTATGCTTCCAATCGAACTAGACCTAACGGCCTGTGGCAGTATGATTAAAGAGGCCTACCTACAGCTTTCAACTCCCGAAGCCCAAAATGTCATTGACTTACTATTTGACGATTTAGCCGGCCATCCACTGCCCACCTACGACCATACACTAACTATAATACTACAATTTATCCACAGGTTTTATACCCTCCAAATGATTGCGCTTAATACTATCAATAGTGCATATACCGGCCAAATCAGTGACTTAACCGACGAGCAAATACGGGACATCTATCATCTATTCGAGCTTGCACCACTTGAGTTTTTGAGAGACCTGAACAGCCCAACCGGCCAAAAGGGTATTGAACTAATGGACAGACTTACTAAACCCACCGGCCTTGCTATGTTCTACAAGGTTCGATTCAAAGGCAATTTAGTAGATATAAAAGACATTACCGATCGCTTTAGCATTTTAAAAGACACCAATTCAACCATGACTGAAGATGATATAAAAATGACCAAAATTGCATTACTTTCACTTGAGCAGATCCCTACCGCTTTGCTAACCGTAACCAACACGCTAGCATCTAATCTAGTTGGATTTTCCAGAAGCACCAAAATCGCCCAGCACGACATTCGAACCAAAAACGAGTTATCATTACATGGTTGTATACAAATAGCCGGCAGCCCAGCAATATACGTCAACTATGGTTCCGGCTAAAGCAACATTATTCAAAGTACAACCACACCACACTAGTCAACCCAAACCAACTTTATTCACCCTCAAGTTAAGTAGCATCACCATTAAGTAGCATCACCATTAAGTAATCTCACCATTAAGTAGTCACACCTCAACCTAATATCAATTTAATATCAACATAATACCACCATAATACTAACCTAATACTAACTTAATATCAACTTAATACTAAATTAATACCACCAGCAAATAAACATACTTAACTTAACTTAACTTAACTCAAATCAAAACATAACAAATCATAACATAACAAATCAAATCATAATATAATCAAATTGCGCATTTATTCAACAAGTTTAGATAAGATCAACTCAATACCAAACCAACTCAATACTAACCCAAAGCAACTGTAAACTAGGCAAACCAAAACCCACTGGCTCCTTCTTGAATAGCCACTCGCATGCGCTTCAGTAACTCCTCATAACTCGTATACTCAGGTAAGTCCAATTGGTTAAAACACGTATGCGCCGTAGGTAAACGACTATCTCCACCCGGCGCCCGATAAATTTGAAATCTCTGATTGCCATTCTGACCTTTCAGTCCCGCAAACCCTTCTAACGGCAACTTAGAAGATCCCGTACAGAATTGCAACAACTTAGCCCTTTCCTGCACACTAAAATCACGTACTGCCCGCCAAAACCAACGTACTACCTGTGAAGAAGAAGTATACCCGGCATATAACGTATTGTTCCGCCAGTCATCCACATCTATCTCCGGTAATCCACTAATCAGTAACTCTAATTCCCGCTCATTAAACATCCGCACTCTTTCCGCCGGTAAAATCTCAAAGAAACCCGTTGATAAGGCAGCTAATTGCTTATCAATCAGTAAAGATAGTTTAAAAGCACAAGTTAAATCAACATATTCCTGCTTATTCGCATCAGTTACAGCTATATCCTTACCATTAGGCTTTAAATCAACTATCTCAGTCGCTCCAAACCGTTCGTGCTCCATAGCAAAGGTTAAATCAAGTACTCCATCTATCTCATTGTTAAGTATCCAGGTTAAAGACCGATGAAAAGCCGGATCAACCGCTTCAATATCAGAAAGAGTCACCGGTCGACCTAGCAGTCGTTTATAAACAGCCCGAGTAAAGTGACAATCTAAAGTAGCTCCATCATGAACGGCCTTACCTAGTACCCGGCCAATAAACTTGAAGTAAAGCAAATGTTCCGGATTAACGTGTGAATTAGGACTCGGCTGATAAGCCAGACCAATCGCATCAAATAAGGCATAGCCAGGATTGAACATTTCCCGGGAGAGTTCTCCAAACCATTCTCTAGTCAGACCACCCGCATCTACTCCCCTTTCCCCGGCAAACTTGATATTAAACCGGGCATCTCTTATCTCTTCCCCACGTAAACGCATCAAACCATGAAATGAATCTTCAAAAACATGATTCCTATCAACGGTAAGAGGTACTTCAGGTCGAGCACTATCAGAACTTTTGATTAGTTTATAGAAAAAAACCCGTTTGTTATCAAAATCAAGTACTGAACTAGGTAGACCTTTAAATGCTTCAAAAAGTAAGTTGGGTTGTAAAGAGATAAAGGCATTAAGTAAGTCTTTCTCCTTTTCAATAATCTCCATAAAAAACCCATTTGATCCCAGATAAGATCCTTCTACACTAGATAACGGACAAAAAGTCAAAACAAAAGCCTTAAACAAAGGTAAGACCGAAGTAAAATGCCGCGGCTCCCTTTCTAAAGGCAAAACATCTTTAAAGTAAGTCCGCCAAAATTCATGTCTCTCCAAGACTTCTAAACCTTCTCGTAACTTCCTACGCACTTCTTCACTCTCATCCATACTAGCCGCCAGTAGAAGGACTCTTACTAATCGAGTCAGTTCTTTCTGGTAATCAGTCGTACTAAAGACAGGTACTTGACTCAACCCAATAAGAATCTCACTAGCTCGTTGCAAAAGATACGCCAAGTACTCTGCATACCAGACAACTCCTGATGCTTTGGTAAAGGCTAGAATACCTTCAAATACATCATCAGGCACTTCAAACTCAAAGACTTTCATATAATTAGGTAAGGCTACTTTTAAACCTTCATGCGACCGATAATATTTTCTTAATTTTTCTACCTTATCTTTTTTTTCAAAATTATTGTTTTGTTTTTCTTTTTCAAAATTATTACCTAATCCGGTAATACTCCCATCATCAGAACAATAAAAATCAAAATTATTACTTAAACTAAAACAAGGACCTAATAATGATAATAACTTAATCGATTCACTCGCACTCCTTTTGTTAACCGCTAAAAATACTTCCTCTAACAAAGATCGTTCCCTAAATAACAATGCAAACTCTTCCGTCCGTCCACATAAATAAGCCGCCGCATCAAATCCCTTCTTCACCCGCCCACTCTGCACTACCCGCATTAAACTGCACATAATATCCCGTCTACTCCGACCGTTAATCCCTATATTCCATAAACAATCATAAAGTAACCGTCGAGGACCATTCACACTCACTACTGCATCTACTAACTCCTCAATCTGACCCGTCTCCACCAGTAAAGGTCCTTCCCGAACAGCCGCTGAACTTACTTCCGGCTCAACTAAGGCCATACTACTACTACTAGGAGCTGCTTCAGCAAAGGCCGCAAAGTAAGCTGCTTCTTCCTCTTCAAAGATAAGTCTGACGTCATCACGTAATGAATCTAAGAAAACTAAACTAATCGGACGATAAACAGAACTACTAGCTATCCTCTCCTGATAAAAATGTTCAACTGTATCTCTAAGTATCTCTTCCGGTAGACCATTCAGGACTTCAGCATCTAAACCAGGGACTTCGCCATCTTCAGCCCCCACTAGGAACTCTTCATCAGAAGCAAAAGACTCATGAGACTGACTAGCTGAAAGTGAATCGTACGAGTCCATCTCAGTATAATGAGTATCTCCTCTTCCTTCTCTTCCTTCTCCTCCTCTTGTTCTGCTGCCTCGACCTCTACTGCCTCCACTCGTATCTTCATCTTCCAGGAGATCGGAATTTTGATCTGGAGGACTAGTACTGATTAGAGAGGGAGGTGATTCAGTTGTTTTAGGAAGGATCTGGATAAGACGATGAATTAAAGCTTCCTTAAAGATTTCGGCTGTTTCACAGTAGAACTCAGTATCTCCTAGGACTAAACGTGTTCCATGACTAAGACCTCTTAAGAACTCAGCTGCACTGGGATCGATGGCTTCAGCTTCCATTTGGACGGGGAAGGAGTCAGTGGCTGTTCCAGAAGAGTATCCGGGTGAGTCGGAGGCAAAAGAATCTTCACCACCTAGATCTTCAGTTGAATCATAAGCCGTTTGATCACTATCCATGGTTTCATCCGTATCAAAGTCTTCCATGTATCCTTCTTCTTCCTCTTCGGCCTCTTCAGCGGGTTCTTCAAAGACGCCCTGGGCGGGACCGAGGGCTAAGACCCGGGTGAGGTACTCCAGAAGACGGGCGACTGGGGGAAGGTCAGGGGAGTCAGGAAGAAGAGCGACTGTTTTGATAAGAGTAGGGAGGAGTGAGGAGATGGAGGAAAGAGTCTCTTCAAAGGTAGATCGAGTAGATCTGGCCTGGAGAGTTTGAAGAAGAAGATTAGCTGCTGGGGCTGGATTAGTATCTAGAGATTTAGATAATTGAGATAAGATTTGTGATTTTTGATGGGAATGAGCAGAAGCAATAAGTAAAGTAATTAAACGACTAGTTAAATGGGCTAGAGGTGGGTCTTGTGCTTGAGACTTACCATATTGGGAAATAAAAAACTCAGATAAGGCCATATCTTGGGGATCAGTAAGGGAAGAAAGAACATGGGGTAGAGCAGTTAAGATTTGGCAAAGAGCATGGGCCCGAATAGCCGCTTCCATGGGAGGTTTTGGTTTTGCTGAAGATAAGAAAATATCTCGGAAAAGAGATAAGGGACAGGGAGTGAGTTGATTAGGTTGGGCAAAAGATTGGGGTGATCTAGGGGGATTCTCAGGGGGTTTAAAGATAAGAGTTCCACTGGGAGTTTGTTCAACAGTAGCTGCCGCAAAGGAAAGAGCGACTGTTGGGGAGTAAGTAGCAATAGGACTGAGGATTTGAGCAAATCCAGCTGGAGTCTTATCACGATATTTCCGGCAAAGTCCATAAGTCCTCACATGACTGATAAGTAAATCAGCTGTAGAGATAGGAGTGGCTAAAGCCCGACGAAGAATAAGATCAATAAGCATAGCTAGTTCCCGACGATTAGGAGCCAGAGGAGCCACAGCAAAAAGTGTATCTAAAAAGGGAGAAAGATTAGATACGGTTAAGGAGACGGATCCTTCCGTATGGGCACGTAAGACGCTATGAACAAGAGTACTTTGAGCCTCTAAGAGATGGCAGTAAGCATTAAAGTTTTGATTTTGATTTGGTGAAGATTGACTAAATTGATTAGATTGACTAGTTTGATTTTGATTTTGATTTGGTGATGAAGTAGTAGATTGATTGGGGTTGGGTGATGAAATAGTAGGTGAAGAGGGAGAAGGAGATACGGGAGTAGTTTTGGAAAAATCAATATCAGCTACTAAACGGCGAGTGTAGTAAGTGCCTTGTAAATCATCTAGAGCACTAGCAAAGTATAAAGTAGTGGCAGTTAGTAAAATAAAATCAGGATTGGAACTAGATAAGGATTCTTTGATAAGATCGGGTAGTTTTGCCCGCATACACTCAAGAATACATGTCTCTTCTGATAAGGCTTGTTGTAACATTAAGTAATGACCAGATTTAAAATGTCTTTCTATCTCTTTCTTATCTTGAAAGACTAAAGATAACAAACCAGGGAAACTCTTAGCAGCATCTGCTTTTGGTGACTCTAGTAAACGTATATATATATCATAACACTTATCATAATGTCTAGGATGGGCTTCATCCCTTTCTAATACGGCACAAATCACTAGTAAAACATCACTTGCTCCTTCTGCATCTAAGTACTCCACTAGTTGACTAATGATCTGGACAAGGAAGTCTTCAATCTGGCCTAGTTCAGAACTGGCTGGATTTACTTGTCTAAAAGTAGCTGGAACACTAGCTTGGATCATTTGGAGGACATTAGCTAATCGACCGGCATGTTTGTTTTGATTAGCTGAGCTTATCTTAAACCAAAAATCATTAAAAATACTTAAACTAGATAAGGCTAAAGATTGTATACCAGGACATGATTTAGCCTGTTCAAAGTAGTTCTTAAGTGCTTGAAGATGCGCACTTAGTGATCGGTTGGTTTGCAAGGCCCATTTAAGATTATCAATCGCCTGGGGTAGAACTGTACTGACTAGTTCGGGTAAAGTCCCCCATTCCGACCGACTCCGATGCTCAGGACCCCGCGCATGAGCACTTGGTGGTAGAGTAGCTGCTTCCGAACGAAGAAGACCAAGACCTAAGGCATACTGTAAAGCAAATAAAGAATCATTAGTAGTAGTACTTGGACCAACTCCGGCTTGAAGAGAACGGAAGACTTGTTGAATCGTATTTAACGTACAAACTACTTCAGATAAGGAAAGAGGATGGGCTGAAGTCCCGGCAAAAAGCATACTATTAACTAAGACAAGTAAACGTTGGGCTACTTTAGGCTCATTACGTCCTAAAGCTTCTTTAACCCGACTAAGTAGAAGACTAATAGCCCCAATTTGTGGTTCAGCCGCTAAAGTCCGCAGAATCTCCATACTGATGGCATAGAGTTCTGAATCAGCTGGTGCATCAACTGCCCCTAAGATTTGAGTTAAAGATAAGAGTAAGTCCGGGCCAAGTAAGAAATGAGTTGTACCTGGATTGTAGATAACTGAACAGGAGATCATTCGGAAGAGGTTTTCAAGTAGAGCTTGCATGAGATCAGAAGGTGTATTGGGAATATCACGAGCAATACTATCTAAAGTACGTAGCATATTAGCCCGAATAGTAGGAACACTAGCCGGATGGTGTCTAGCTGTTTTTTCCAAGAACATACCGTAAGTAGATGAAATATCATAGGCCGTAATTGTATCACAAAGATTGACCATTTCAAAACAATAGAAAATCTTATCTAAAATTTGTTCTTCTTTAACTCTTATCAGTAAATCAGGAGAAAGAAGAAAAGCTTCGATCAAAGCCGGCATTTCCTGAAGAAAGTCAGCTGCTGGAGGTAGTTCTCTCTTCATTACCTGGACAAACCCATCGAATAAGCCAGCTTCAATAACAAAAGGAAGATTAGCCGGTTCAGCATGGACGTAATCAGCGATAGCCGCAAAAGTATGAGCGAGAATAGGAGGAGAAAAAGCCGGGGAGTAGATAAGGATTTTTTTGATAGCCGTTGGAAAATGTCCTTCTAAGAATCCACGCATGGCATCAGATGTACCTGCGTTTTGAAAAAGTTGGGCTGTTATTTTCATAATCAGCTTAATGTAAGTTAAAGTATCATAAATATTAACTGAACTACTAAAATTTTGATTTT